TGACCGGCTGCGTGCTGGGTTCGGTGCTCGGGGCCCCCGGCCTGGCTGCCCCGCAGAGGGCGCAGCGCATCGAGAAGTGGATTCGGATTGCTCAGGTAGGCGTGGGGGCGGAGCTAATGAACCGCTCTGCCAATGAGAGTCCGCGGTGGGAGGGGCCTGAGGCAGCAATGGGGGCGGGGGAGCTGCAGGGCAAGGGGCCGGGGTCTGGGAAGCGGGGAGGGAGTTTCTAGGGAAGAGGAAAAAGCTTCACGGGTGCCATACAGAGAGTCTCTCCGGTCTGGGTCAGAAGTCAGGATAGAACCGGGCCTGTTGGCTCACGCCTGTCATCTAAGCACCGGGGAGGCTGAGGCAGGAGGATCGCTGTGAGTTCAAGGCCAGCATGGTCTGCATAGTTCAAGGTCAGCCTGGATTACACAACAAGGTGCTGACTCAAGACAAAAAAGTCACAGGATCTAAGGTGTCTGGTGCCCGGGTGTCAGATGTGGGGTGTGATGAGCTACCCTGCGTCACCCCAGCGCTGCCGGGAGCTGCGGAACTTCTCTTCCCTGCGCGCCATCCTGTCCGCGCTCCAGTCCAACCCCATCTACAGGCTTAAGCGCAGCTGGGGGGCCGTGAGGCGGTGAGCCGGGTGGGGGACAGTGGGGGCCGCCCCAGCCCCAACCCAGCTCTGATCCTGCCGGCCACCGGTCCCTGACCGCCTTCCCCCCCACCCCCCAGGGAACTGCTATCCACTTTCAGGAAACTTTCCCAGATTTTCTCCGACGAAAACAACCACCTCAGTAGCAGAGAAATTCTTTCCCAGGTACAGATGCACGGGGAGCCTTCAGAGGCCCAGGCTGGGTTTAAACTTGTGATCTTCTTTGCCTTAGCTTCCCAGAGTGCTGGGGTTAAGGACTGAGCCGCCCTGCCCGATGTCTAACAATGTTATTGTTTCTGCTGTTTCCATGATAATGCATACTCAGCAACAGCCTTATTTATTCATTCAACAAAATACGAGGAGTCACAAGGAAAAGGTCACTTCAGGCCACAGTTATAGCAAAGTGTAAAAAAAAAAAAAAAAAACTTTTTTTGTTGTTGTTCTGGGAATTTACCTTGATAAGCAAGATCTTAAAACGTGGGCCAACACATCTGAGTTAGCTTCTAACTGAGATCATGGGCCAGTCCCTCGGTGAATCCAGAACAGACGGGGCATGGGAGGAGCCTGTTCCCTGTGCCCTCAGGATGCACGAGTGCCTTTGGCTCCTGTCACCCCCTGTGGGTCTCCTCAGCGTCCCCGCCTGTCATGGGCCCTGTCCATTCTCCACGCCCCTACTCTGCTTTCTTGTCCTCTACTTTCCTTCCATCTTTCCCTCCCTCCTTTCTCTCCTTCACTTCTTTCATTCCTTCTTTTTTTCCCCTGTACAAAGGGTCAAACTCAGGACCTTGTGCTTGCCCAACAGGTATGGTGCTACTGAGCTACATCCCCTGCACTTACTTTCCTTTTGAGAGACCAAACCAGGACCTTTCACACTGAGCTACATCCCCAGCCTTTTTTTTTTTTTAAACAAGGTCTCAGTGCCGGGCATGATGGTGCACGCCTGTCATCCTAGCACTTGGGAGGCTGAGGCAGGAGGATCGCTGTGAGTTCGAGACCAGCCTGGGCTACATAGTGAGTTCCAGGTCAGTCTCAACTACATAGTGAGACCCTGTCCAAAAAAAAAAGCAAGGTCTCAGTGAGTAGTTTCGATCCTCCTGCCTCAGCCTCCCAGAGTGCTGGGATAACAGATGTGCACCACCACAGCTGGTTTGGCATGTGATTGTTGGGACCAAGATGAGGGTTTACGGTAGGTCTCAAGGTACCCCCTAGGAAGGTTCCAAGGGGTCCCCAGGGCTGCTCAGTCCTTCCCTTCCCCAGGAGGAGGCCACAGAGGCGCCCCAAGAGGAGGACAGCGCCCCGGGACGTGTGCCCTCAGTGAGTGGTGGGATTGGGGTGGGAGGTAGGGGGGCGTGTTGAGTGGTGGGGTCAGTGATGGCCAGAAGTGACCAGAGCTTCGGGGGCTGCAGAAACTGCGCACAGGTCTTGTCCCCTACCTTGGCACCTTCCTCACGGACCTGGTTATGCTGGACACAGCCCTGCCGGATTTGTTGGAGGTGCGACGCCTGACCCCTGGCCCCTGACCCCTGA